ACATCGGGCTCCTGGCTCAGCGGGGAGCCTGCTTCTCCCTCTGACCCTCTCCTCTCTCATGCTGTTTCTCTCTCGCTCGCTCTCTAATAAATAAAATAAATAAAATCTTTAAAAAAAAAAACAACAAAAAAAAAACCAGACCTTCTGACATCCATCAATTTTTCTGAACCCTCCCTGAATCTATTTGTATCTTCAACCTGTTTATATCCTAAGTCCTTGCTTCATCCTTTTTTACTTCCTTAAGCCTCTTCATAGATCAGGGTTTGGTGAAGAAATCTTTGCTCGCCTTTTGCATGCCCTTTTTGACCTTCTAGACTTCAAACACATCTTATCTGGGAGTCCTCCTCTTTCTAGACATTCACTGAAGGCCTACTCGGTGCCAGGTCCTGTGGGAAGCCGTGTGGTCACAGAGATGAATGGCAGCAGTCTCTGTCCTCCAGGCAAACGAGAGGGCTACAGAAGCAAACAGGGTGGTGAGGAAGCTGGGAGAGGAGACCCCACTTCAGACTCGGGAAGTTGAGGGCATCGAGAAGACTCCCAGAGAAGATACGCAAGTCTTGAAAACTGAGAAGGAATTCATTATCCCAAGGGAGATAGGCATGTTCTGGGAAAGGGAATGGAAAGGATGGTGTTGCAGGCAGATGGGACACCATTCCAAAAACAAGGGGAAAGTGCAAGATGAGATGAGGAAGTGGCAGAGTTTGGGGGGTCTAGAGTGGGAGGTGAGGCTGAGAGACGGGCTTAAATGCCGCACCACAGCCCGAGTCCTGTTCTGTGATTCCTGGAGTCATCACACGTTTGTAAGTAAAGGAACACAGTCACTCAACATTAAACATCATTTTCCCTCAGAAAAAAAATGCTGTTTTTGCCTCAGCAAGTTTTTTTTCCCTTTTGCCTACATTTTGTCTCACTATTGAGGGACTGTTTTTATCTTAGATGTGAACACTGACCCACCTGCAGGGGTACATCTTCTTCCAGGACAGACTCGCTGTTCTACTGTTCTCAGGGTTATTACCAGACTCCTGGAAAGGTTGAAAGTCTAAGAACAAGGTCAAGGTAGAAATCCCTAAGCTTTTCCACACACAAAAAAGGGGGATCCAAGGGACTCATTTGCTCTCTTGATTTTTTATTTTAAAGGAACCATCTTGCATCATGTTCCTTAGAGGGCTCCAGTGATTTCAAGTAAGCTAATCAATGCTTCCCTCACCTTCCTGAGCAAAGTCTGCTCTGGCTCATTGAATTTATAGGTGGTACCTGCTTAACACACTATGAGGTCTTCCCTTTGCTCTTAGATAAGAAGATGGACTTAAGATTTTTACTTAAGCATGTGGCTGTGTGTGCAAAGAACAGGTTGAGGAGAGAAGTAAGTGTGTCCTTAGTGGAAGATGTACCATGGACTTGAGGTCTTCTTTTGGTAAATTGTGACGATTGCTAAATAGAGAATTGGAACCCTGGCTGTTTGGGGCAGACAGTTGCTGCCACGATGCCCTGAGCTGAGCTCATACCACACGAGGCATGAACTTCTGCCTGTATCCAGAAGAAAACAGCACTTTGGTTAACAGGACTTTGGTTTAATACTATAAGGTATTCCCTAGTCATTTCCTATTTAGATATCCATGTGGCTTAGCTCCTTTTGGATTTAAGTGGTCACGAATTTTCTTGTCCAATTGGCAAAGTAAAACAAAACTTACAGAATAAAGCAGCTAAATCTCACACTGAGGCTCATTCTCCCTTTCTGACTGTGTCCACCACCCCGTAGAGCTGCCTCCATCTCCCCAGCCTGGCAGAATCGCCAGCCTGGCCTCCAGCTGCGGACTCCCTTTCCCTCCTGGGCCAGCTCAGGATGCCACCTATGTTTCCTTTCCTTCCCCAACTCTTCTTCCTGCCACCGCCCATTCGCTGCAAAGCAAAGGGTTTGCACAGGATTCCCCCTCAGATGCCTAAGCTAACAACAAATGTTTTGCCAACTTGGAGCGAATGATTCCTTCTTGTTTTGTTAAGGAGTCACTGGCTGGCTGAAGCGGACTGGCAGAGAGGAGTGGCACTGGAGAAAACACTCTGAGCTTTCCTTTATTAATCACAGAATATACATTCCCAAAGGGAAAAGAGAGACAGTGAGAAATGGGGGAGAGTTAGGGGAGAATCCGATGGGGTAGCAAGAGAGAGACAATCATCTGGTGGCTACATTCAGGATGTGACTGAACTCACCATGGAATTATCTCACTACGGAAATCAAACTCCCTGTGGACGTATCTGTATCGTCCCAGAAACTGCACTGGGCTTAAATCTAAGTACGCAACACTAAGAGCTAAATTTAGTTGTTGGAGGTCTGAGAAAGGTATGAGAGAACTCAAGAAATGAGAGAGAAAGATTGTCCCACACACACTGTTTAAGGTTCAACTCCCAAGTCTTCCTCAATCCCCTGAAATTGAAATGAATCACTGTCAGCCTGAGTTCCCAGGAAAATCTGGTTATATCTCGGCTGGGGATTGACTTGTTTTAGGGCTAACACGTTACTGCAGTCAATCTTTTCCATCAGATTAAGAGCTCCTCAAAGGCAAGGGTTAGGTCTAACTGTGTTCTGCTGGAAACTCTGAACACAATTCTCAGGACACCAATCTCCAAAACATCCAAACTCTGAACTCACTGCTGGAGAATGGGTGCTTTGCGGTTTGCCAGTGGGACTCCCGAATCTCCAGCCTGCTGGCTTGCTCTACGAATCCTGGACTCACCAGCTTCCACAATCCTGTGAACCAGTTCTTTAAAATAACTCTATTTTTACTTTTATTTCCTTCTCCATATACATACACAGGCATACCTCATTTTATTGTTTTTTGGTTTGTTTGTTTTTTTTTTTTTTTTACAAATTGAAGGTTTGTGGCAATCCTGCATCAAACAAGTCTATCAGTGCCATTTTCCAACAGCATTTGCTCATTTTCTGTGTTACATTTTATTAATTCTCATAATAATGATGAAAAGATTTGAAATATTACATTTGTTGTGGTGATCTGTGACCAGCGATTACAACTCACTGCAGGCTCAGTTGATGGTTAGCCTTTTAAGCAATAAAGTATTTTTTAATTAAGGTATGTAATTTTTTTAGTCATAATGCTATTGCACACTTAATAGACTGCAGGATAGCATAAACATAACTTTTATATGCACTAGGATACCAAAAAATTCATTTGACTCACTTTATTGTAAGTCGTCTGGAACCAAACTCACAACTTCTCCACGGTGTACTTGTATGTATAAGCGGTTCTGCTTCTCTGGAGAACCTGACTCAAATACGGATAAAGAGAGCTAGAAATATTTTAGTAAAGACATGTCCACAGTGGTCCTTTATGGCTTGTTCTGGTTCAGGGTCGGAGCCTAGAAGACCTCCAGTAAGTGTCTGATAGGAACCAAAGGTGGGGGAGCAAAAACCAAACAGAAAGAAACACGGCTTCTGCTTGTGGGGTCCCCGTGCTGAGGGCCAGGGGCAGCCCCGCCTGCCAGCACCAGCCAACGACTACCTGGTTAGAAGAATGAGCGGGGGGCGGGGGGGGTGCGGTGAGCCATCAGGAGCATAAATGTCCCTGTGGCTCCAGGGACAACATGCAACGTGGTGACACCACGGCCACCCTCCAATGCAGCCAGGAGGTAGGAATCTGGGTTGGAGCTCAAGTGTATACGTGTTGCTGAGAAATTCACAGGTAATGGGTAGTTCTCCCTTCCCAATGAGCCAGCCCTGTCTCTTGGCTCTGGCTAGGGATGGAAGCTTTTCCACTCCCCGGACTCATTCTTCTGAAGGCTGCTCCCAGAACGGAGCTGGGCAGCACAGGGCTGGACACAGAGGACACTCTGCAAATGTTCGCTCACCTAATGGGTGAACATATAGAGCCCGGCATTTATAAAATGCTTCAAAATATTACTGTTTTGAACTACTACATCATTTGATGCTCAAAGGAAAAAAAAACCACAAAAACAAAAAACCCATGATACTGATGCTATAACTATCACTCTGCTCATTTCAGAGCTGTGGCAACCTGAGGGATGAAGTGACTTGCCCAAAGTCACCTCAACTCCTAAGGGCAGAGTCAGAACTTAAACCCAAGGTTTTTTTTTTTTTTCCCTCCATTATACCAGTTTGTCTCTTCCTTTTATTCGTGGGTTAAATGATGTCACCTTCTGCCCTTCCTCAGAGTCAGAGTCATGGAGACAGCTGCCTAAGGGGAGCTCCTTCCTTTCCTGTCAGTGGCCTCACCTTCTGACATCTGAGGCCAGAGAAAGGATAATTCGAGCACATGCCTGGGTCATAGTGCTTAAAGGCCTTCTGGAGGGGTTACAGATCCAGTCTCAAACCAGCATCAGCTGAAGACTTCACATTAGCTTGAGGACTAAAGTTCCCAGTTATAGAATTACTACCCAGTTACCAACAATGAATGGGAGCTAGGGATGATAGGAAAACTGGGAGAGTTAAATAGTAAAAAAATGGAAAACGTTAAAAATGAAGAATTATGTAGGAGTATATTTGAGTTATTAGTGGTAAGGAATAGAAAACAGCTTTCACATTGTATGCCAGCTCTGCTGAATCGTGATTACTTGCTGGGCTGGATTGAGAACAATTCTAAGGCTGAAACAGAGTATAGAAAAAAGGAATATGGTGTCCATTGGCAATGTCTGCTGTTGGTTCAGGTGCAGAGACTGGGAATACTTGAGCCATGGAGAGTGGTTGGCCTCCTGGTGTAAAGCTTGTAAAAAAGGAGAAAGGAAGAAAGGAGATCAAAGTCCAAAGTATTTTGAAAAGCAAGAATTAGACAAGGTGGTCTGAAGTGAGGCATTAGCAGCAAGAGATTTACCACAAATAAAGTTCAGGTTCAACAGGAGAAGTTCTACAGAGAGGAGAGTGGGACGGACACCTCCACAGGGAGCAAAGACGGTAGTTAATCCACATGGGTTCCATTTTACCTGAAGACCAGAAGCCAAGGTCCACAGATAGGGGTCCAGTCCAAACGTACCCCCAGCCCCCGGCATCTAAGTCAAAGAGGTCTGGACCAGGAAAGTTCTTGCTAGAGGCCTCCTCCACACCCCTGAATCCTCAAGCCAGGTCCAAGCCCCCACCATCGAAAGGTCCCAGGGATCTAGGAGTTCACGAAGACACAGGAGGCAGCACCTTGCTAGGTAGACCAAACAGCAAGTGCTTTGTCTGAGCACGAACATCTGAACGCAGGCAAAAGAGGCCAGAGGAGAAGGAAGCCTTAAGTGCTGAGTGGGGGCGGGGGGGGGTGTGCGTGTGCACAGGCACGCCACGGCTCAGCCATGCCTCTAAATGCAGACCATGCCTTGGTAATCCCTTCACCGCTCAGCCTCCCTCCATCAGCCAACCAGCAAAACACAGCCCCCATTCTGCTCAGGAATGTGCTTTCGGAAACTTAATCTAACTGCTGAGTCTGGGCCAAATCCCCCATGGCATTAGCCCAAAGACAGCACCCCGTTCTGCCGCCTCTCCCGCCTTCCCCCTGCCTCCTCCTAGCTGGGGAGGCTGCAGTTCCACTCCATGGCCACAGTCCCTCGGAGCCTGCTCTCCTCATTTCCAGCACTTCTCCAACCCTCCAGTCAGCCCCAAACATTTCACTTCTGATTCATGTCTCCACGACAAGCCAACAGTTCTTGGCTTTCAAGCAAGACTCACTGGGCTTCTGCACAAGCCACTTCTCTCACTGGGCCTTCTGGGATGCAATCAAACCCTCCCCTTTGTCCTCACTGTCAACTGCAGATCCCTTCAAGCACCACAGAAAGAGGTGGCCAGGAATTTTTTTTACCATAAGGGCAAAAAATGGTCTCTCCTCATACAGATACACCTTGAAGTAGAAGGAGGGCTCCAACGTAAATCTTCTACTCTCCAACTATCCCTTCCTCCAAATAAAACGTTCAGCCTGGCTCCTAATGAGGCCAAATGAATGGTTATGGAGTTTCCTGAGTCTTCACAGACATGTGCTGACCATCTGCAGATGAGCAACCCTCCTAAATGAGCAGCATTATCCTTTAAAGGCATGAACGCTACTAAAAGGCATATCTTACTTGTAATAATGAACCACTGGAAGTGACCTCATGGCCCAGCAATAGAAAAAGAGTTCAGTACGTATGGTAGAGCCGCTCAGGGGATGTTTGAGGGCCACTGGTAACTCTGACCCTGCTCTGCTGTGGGCTGGGGTGGGGAGGGGGGCAGATGACTAGGTAAAGGGCATGGGGGAACCTGCTAGAGTGATTAGAGTGATGGTTACCCATACATATGAAAAATGCATCGGGATGTTGACTTATTAGTGCACTTTGTGTACTTTACTGGATGCATTTTATACTCAACAGAAAAGGAAAAGTAAATATGGTCATATGGCCAATAGAAAATGCTTACCACACAATGCTGAGGGGAGAGAATATGGACAGAAGCTATATATTCAGCAGATCACTCGGACAGTGCGAAAGAATGGGCATGCCCTTATGCTCAGTGAAATAAGTCAGAGAAAGACAGATACCCCATGATTTCACTTACAGGTAGAATCTAAAAAACAAAACAAAACAAAACCCAGACTCGTGGACACAGAGAATAGAGTCCTGGTTGCCAGAGGAGAAGGAGGTTCTGGGGTGGGGGGCAGGGTAGAAAAATGGGTGAAGGAGATCAAGAAGTCCAAGCTTCCAGTCATAAAATAAGTCATGGGGATATAATGTACAGCTCAAGGAATACAATTAGTAATAGACTGTGTGTGGTGACAGATGTTAAGTAGACTTAGTGGTGACCATTTCACAATGTATACAAATATCAAATCACTATGTTATACACCTGAAACTAATATTGTATGTCAATTATATACTTCAATAAAAAAAGAAAGTATGGGTATGGATCAAGACTGGAAGGGTATACTCCAAAATGGTAAATGGTGGTTGTGTGACGACCGTGGGCTGAGGGGAAATGTTATTTTCTATAAACTCTGTGCTTTCTGTCATTTTCATTACAGTTGAAAAATATAAGAGCAATATGATGGTAGGAGAGTAGCTCTGACCTCAGCCCTTCTTGTATGATGAGATGACCCCTCCCTACCCTCAACCCTCCTCACCTAAGTCTGCTGGTACCCTCCTCCTCACACCCCACAAGCACAGGTGGAGGGGAGGGCCCAGCTGGTGGCCCGGGATCTGCCTCCCTCACCCAGCATGCACAGCCTGCTTCCCAGAGGCCTGGGGCTCAGATTCAATGTGCTTCTTCTGTCACCAAGGAAAATGGCTCCCACTGTGTGGGGAGGCTGCAGGATGCAGCCCAGGCTCAGCCTGGGCCCTGGAGGGGCAGCTGAGGACCCGCCCTGCCTTCTCCCTTCTCTGAGAAAAGGGCAGGGCTGCTTGACTGTTTCCCAAGAAAACAGGAACACTGCCGGCAGACTCTCCTCTGTTCTCTCACAGAGGGAAGTCCCTTCAGGGACCTGAGAATCGGAGGGCAGGCAGAGGTCTTTTCTCCCCTGTTGGTCTATTTCCCCATCTCCTACCGCTTTTCTCTAGGACTCACACCTCGTACACCCCAGAGACCCCAGCCAACCTTTAAGGAGCATTTCAGAAGTTTGCTGCTTTAGGCATGACCCCTAACACACATCGCTCAGGAGGGTGATGAGGATGGTGATGTGGAAGTCTGAAGCAAGGCTGTCAGGGGTAAGGGGACCCTGCTAGGTCATGAGGGAACAAGCCTCCAAGGAGGAAGAGGTCATTCTTAATATTTCCTGGTTCTAGACTCAGCTATAAGGACAGATGCTGGGGCTGCCCTGCAGCCTTCAGAAGTTTATTTCGTCAGTAAGTCTCGTCTCCCGTATGTACAGTGGGTAGAAAATGAGGCAATGTATGCTTTGCACCTGGGCACCATAATATACCCAAGTGGTAATTACAAATTAAGAGTAGTATAAAGTCTTCACCTGGCATCCTCCTTGGACCAAACTGTACCCCAATCTCATCCTCTTTTCTGTTCTCTTTACTCTTTGTCACACAGTTTCCTTTTCATGTGTTCTACTATTTATTTGTCAGGCGTTTGGAATCCGCTTGGCCCTCAGACAGACAGGAGGCCAAGTGTGGGATGGGCACCTCTGTTCGGACTCCACATGGCCTTGTAAGTGCTCTGACCATAACTGCCCTGAGGACGGAGTGCGGGGCCCGGGGCGGGGAAGACGGGGAGGAGCGGGCACTACCACACCTACAGCTAGAGGGAAAGTCCAAAGGCGAGGCACGGAAACAGTTCAACCATGTCGAGTTCCCCTCTTTCGAGACACTCACTCCACACACTGCCCCTACTTAGCAGCTTCCCAGGGGCACAACTGTCCTCCACCACTGGGGACTGCTGGGCAGCTACCACTCTCTGGTTTGAAATTTCAAATTGTAAGGCCCCCTTTCATATGAACACTACCGACAAGGGGTATGAATGGTCTGGGGGAGAGAAAGAATGGGAGAGTGCACTGTGGCCAAGGAGCAAAGGGGCAGCACTCACTGGCTAGCGTCACAGTGGCTGGCACGCTGGCCACGGCTCCTGCAGGCATCCGGGCCACACACTGGTACCGTCCCACGGTGTGGTTGCTGAGGGCGGTGATGACGAGGGTCCCGCGGGTGATGAGGATGCCCAGAGCATCATCTGAGCCATTCAGCTCCTTCCCGTTCAGGCGCCAGGTGGTGTTCATCCACGGGGGCTCCACGACGCAGCCCAGGATCACCGTTCCTCCGAGCTTCTGGACCGTGGAAGAAGGCTGGACAGTGACCTGAGGGACCTGGTCTGGAGGAAGAACAGGGACGTAGCCATGAACGAACATCCCCACTGAAACCAGTAACATGACCTTTTTAGAAGCACAGCACCCAGGCGGCCTTTCAGAGCCGGGCGGCCGGGAGGAGTCGATCTTCGTCTGAAGAACTCCACGGTGCCTGGGCCCATTCCCCAGCCTGTCCTAGTTCTCAGAAGGCAGACTGGAGTGGCAGCGGGGAGCAAAGGCGAGGGCTTAGACTTTGGGATTGGACAGACCTGGGCCCAAACCCCAGGGCCACTCCTTCTGAGCTACGTCACTTCAGCCTCTTTGTGTCTCGGTTTCTGACCGATAACATGGGGCTAGTAACACCTGCCTCCCAGGGTTGTTGTGAAGCTTACAAACAATGCATGTCAACTGCCTGCCATAATCTTATACAGTAAGTGCTCAGTTAAAGGTAGTTATTATCATTCCTCCTCCACTGGTATATATTTGAAATGATTAAAGTTCTAAAGTACAACCAATATGAGTGATTTCTCATCTTGCATTATTGAGAGTATCTCCGAAGGCCGGTGAGAATGAAGTGTTCTTTGAAATTCAGGAAAAGGAAGGCCTTTACAAAGGGTCACTACTGAATGTGACACAAGGGGACAAAGTGTTCTTGCAAGAGGGGTGGGCTGAGAAAGGGAAGGGAGGCACTCACTCAAGTCGGCAAAGCAGCCTGCTGCGGCTAAGAGGAGGCAAGCGAGGGTGACCTCGGGCCTTTTTTCTCTCTGAGTTGTCATCGTCCCATGTAGCACGGTGTCACAAAGGGTCCAAGCCAATGTCCCATAAGCCAGCGGAGTCACTCCAAGAGGTACTACGATCCCCCGCACCGCTCTGCTGTGAGGAAGAGAGAAATGGCCCCGGTGAGTGAGGCTGCCTGCCACAGGGCCTGGCTCTGACCCCTGCCCCTTGCCTCCAGCACACAAGCCGGCCACATTCAAGATGTTGACCTGAACAGCTGCTGCAAGACCAAAGAACACTCTCCTGTCATTTCTCATCTAAAAGAAGCTTCTTTTAAGTAGCTCCCCTGAGCCAGAAGGGGATTTTATTGTGGCACGAGTGCTAGAGGCTTGCCCCATGTACGGGCAGCAAGGAGGGCAGGGGAGCCCAGCGTTAGAGGGGCTAGGACCGGCAGCCACCGCCAGGGTCCAGGCAGTGAGCATCTCACACACCTGTCGGGAACGATGTGCTTGCAGGAGGCCAGATGTCCATGGCCACATGGCAGGCCATGCTGCCCCTACCAGACTATCGTGGACAGCACCGTCATGTGCGTAATGCTGAACCCTTAGTTTAGGGGATGTTACTGATGAATCCTAAGGTCTCAGAGACTCCAAGAAGATCTTTTCAAATCTCCATACTTTTAACCCCAACAGGAGCCTTTTCATATTTTTGCTATCACTGCTCTGCACCCGGTGGGGCGCTTAACAGACAGAGTTGGAATAAGGGTGATATAGAACAGTGAGGCATCTTAACCGTGAGTTCTAGAGGAAAATTTCATGAACAGATTTATAAACTAATACCAAAAGGCAAGTTTTGGTGTCCTCTCGATTTTCCAGATACTTGTTCTAATTCTCTACTTTTCCCCAATGAAATAGAACACTATTATCTAGAACACTGAATGAATTACCAATTAAAGGATTTTAGGGAACTTGATCATGACATGCTCCAGTTTCCTGTTCTGTCCCTGCCCCAAGAAAGGAAGGAAGGGAAGGAAGGAGAAAGGGGCACAGAGGCAGGAAATGAACACAAAGAATAAAGGGCAAAAAGAAGACAAGCAGACAAACAGGACAGGAGGGCTGTTAGTTATCTGAGCACAGGGTAGCTGCAGAGGTGTTCGGGTTGTAAAGTCCACAACGGTTTTACTGAGGAAATTCAGCCCAGACCCCCTTCTGCTTAACGAGGACCAGCCAAACAATTACTGTTACTTCTGCACACTTGGTAATTTATAGGATTCAAAATGGAAACAGACCCCACTTTTGCTGCCAGTCACCAATCCGCTTTTATAAGCAACCAAGAGAAAAGAATGTATCTGGGGACAGAAATGGAGTAAGAGGAAGCAGGTATCTAAAGAGGGAGAAAGGAGTTAACTCATTAATCCCCACGACAGATTTGTAAACAGATATCATTTGGTGACCCCAAAGCAGGTCACATGGAGTCTCCTTCACAAAATGCAAAACTATGACAAAAATAGGGAGGAAGGGGCATCGCTGTAGCTATCATGCATCTTATTTAGCAACCAGGAAAACAGAGTTGCTTCCTGGACCCAGCTACCTAGTGAGCTTGGTCTAGAAAGATCATCCAAAGATATAAATTTCTGAGAATTTTGTTGTAACGATAAAACTAAAAGACAACTAAGGCTTAACTAGAATTCCTACTTGCAGTGTGCCTTTGTCCCACTGTGAAATGAACAAGGTGCAATTTCAAAGTTGGATGAAGGCAACAGTAAGGCCCATTATTTTTCCTGGCAATGAGAAGTAGATCCTTCTTATTTTCTACGGATTTTCTCAGAAAAAGAGGAGAGGTGAAGGAAAAAAAAAAAAATCAAAAACAGAGGGGAGAATAAATTCCTGACATGAATTCCTCACTGAGGCCTAGGTCCTTGCTATTTTTAAGGATTATCTGGACACGGAAAACAAAAGGAAAATGTGTCTGAGAAACTTAACTGCTGACATACTCGCTCCCACTGAAATTATCTCCACCCAGCAGACATTTTCAAAACTTTCCAACAACAACAACAACAGAATACACTTCTGGGGTTGAGACCAATGAGAAATTATAGGCTCGGAGTATTTATTTTGTGCGAAAATGACAAACACCTGTGAATCCACCAGCAGCAGGCGGCAGCCAGCTCCACCTTCTCCCAAGAGGACTGGCTGGAACACAGGCGAGACCAGGGCACAGGAGGCCACATCTCCTCCCTGGCCGCCCAGGACACTGCAGCTGTCCTGGAAAGAAAGGGAAGCCTTCGTGGTCTTAAACACAAAGCACACCCTCTGGATATCCTATGGCCAATAACCAAGATGAGTGAAATGGAAAGACATGTGATCTAGCAGAAACCATAGAAAGACTTAGTTCTAAAAAAGCATTCTTTTCAGTGACAAGAACAAGATTGGACAAAGTTTTTTTTGTTCCATTGGTTGAGGGGGGATAGCCACATGAAAAAAGAAATATTTCTGACCCCAAATTACTTTGTTTGTTTTTTGCAAGATCCCAATTCTATAGAGTAAGATTCACTTTTCCCAAAGGTCTTTGAAGGCAGGGAGAAGATTTGCTCATAAGAGGTGATGCCAAGTGGCTGCGGGGAGGCGGTGGTGGGGGGCAGGGTGGTGGTGGGTGCTGGTAGCCCCCTGGCCTCAAAAAAGAGGCTGGCACTCCTGCTCAGAGGAGTGGCATTGGGGGAAATCCCTGGGAAACAAGTGAATTTAGTTCCCAAAGGGCTGAATATAGGAGTTTAAATAGATTGAGGAGAAGGGTTTAGGAAAGGTCATTTTTACTTAAAAACTTGTACTTTTACCCACAGACCTAATTAAAAAGAAAGATTTTAAATTAGGAGGGACCTCAGAGAAAATAAAATAATAGCTTAGAATAACACCTCTGGGTATTGAATGGTATAAATGAGAAAAGCAAGGAGCAGAGAGACTAAGTGATTTGCAGAAGGTCTCCCAGCTAATTAAGAGAGATTTAGGGCTCCAAGTCAGGCCTTCTGACTCCTAGTCCCAGACTTTCTCTACTATTCCAATACTGCCTCCCAGCAAACAGTTTCTGAGGTCATATTTACCAACTGCTTAGAACTACTTTTAGAATTAAATTGGGAATATTTTTGAATCTACTTTCTTATGCAGAAAAATAATGTTACCTGGATCGTTATCTATAAGAGTAACTTTCTCTGGGGGGCCTGGGGGGCGCAGTTGGTTAAGCATCTGACTCTTGGTTTCTGCTCAGGTCATGATCTCAGGGTCCTGAGATTGAGTCCCATGTCAGGCTCTGTGCTCAGCAGGGAGTCTGCTTGTCTCCCTCTCTCTCTGCCAGTCCACCTCTTGCGCACGCGCACATGCTCGTTCTCTCTCAAATAAACAAATCTTTTTTTAAAACAGAAAAAGAGTAACTTTCTCTGTGGTCATTTTCATTCTTTTACCATTTATATCCAAATCTAGAACAATCTCTTACTGCTCTTCACACAATCCCCTTCAATAGAACTTTCTGCAATGGTGAAAACATTCTACATTTGCACTATCAGCACGAGTCACTAGCCATTTGTGTCTATCAAATACTTAAAGTGTGGCTAATGTGACTGAGGAACTAAATTTTTAATGTAACCACACTGGGCAATGCAGTTCTAGACTAATATCTAGAACATCTACCCAGACTGCTCTGATGTCAAACAGGAGAGAATAACAAAACTTTGATGTTCTTAAGTATAAGTCATGCTCTAGCCAGCCTCTAAATATATGTCTAGCTTATTCCTTTTTCTTTTTAAAAGATTTTATTTGAGATAGAGCAAGAGCTAGAGAGAGAACACTCAAGCGGTGGTTGGTGGGGGGAGGGTAGAGGGGCAGAGGGAGAGGGAGAAGCAGGTTCCCCATTGAACAGGAAACCCGACTCAGGGCTCAATCCCAGGACCCTGGGATCATGACCTGAGCTGAAGGCAGTTGCTTAACCGACTGAGCCACCCAAGCACCCCTCTAGCTTATTCTTTAATCAGATTTTTGTCTGGATGTCTATTAAAAAATGATATTGTGATTTCACTACTATCAGGTAGAAAAAATATTACTGTGATCTACCATAGAAGACAGTAGGCAAGTCGCTGTATTAAAAGATGGATTCTGTCCTGAGGAACGTACAGCTTGGGACGTTAAGTCAGCTAGTGTTCAGCAAATCTCCTCGAGCTCCTGGCTTCCCAACATCCTGTGCAGATGGCTTAGAGCCATGTGACTAGTGCTGGCCAATCGAGTGTGAGCGAACATGTCATGTGTCACTTCTAGGGAAAGGCTGTTAAGAGCTAGAGAGCCAGAGCTAGAGAACTGTTTCTCTTCTCTCCAGTCCTGGTGACACAGGTCACGTGTGTTTCAGAAGGCCTAGCTCCAAAGGGGAGCATCTTCAATATTGGGTCTTCAGGAAAGGTTTCCTGGATAAAGGGTTTGGAAGGCCTCTTGGGATGTGCATAAGTAAAGAGCTGAGGGCAGGGCTGGTGGGAAAGGTCTAATGGAGGCTGGTACATCAAGCAGTTTGGCTGTTACAGAAGGTTTATCTTGAACAGTGGGTCTCCAAACTTTTCTGATCTTGCTTTCTTAGGAGTAAAATATTCTGGGCAAATATCCCTAACCCATTCACATTTATTCATAAATTAAATGCATGGGCTGCCAAACTAAAATTTAAAAAGAGTAGGTAAAGTGAAACCATGTTTTAATAACATGTTAATCATGATTGTTTTATAATGTAATTAAAGCTAATACTTTAAGACAGAAAGCCTGTTTAGGATTAGGTGCATCAGTAATGATATGGATATAACTTCTTCCAAACGGTCTGGTTGAATGTTAATTATTTTGTTGACTTCTCATCAGATGGGATTCCATTAGCATTGTTTTTACTTTCTTAAATGGCTTGAAGAGGGTCAGCTCTGCTGTTTTTTTCCTGTTAGCATGTGCTTGGATTAGCTGTATACTCTTCAGCCCCAGTTTCTTTGCAGCAATCTCTTTAAGCCACTTGTCCTTTTGTGAGCATTAATTTAGTCAAAAGTAAATTATATAATCTGTAAACCCACTTAACAGAGAACAGGAAAACTGAGGAGTGAATAAGCAAGTGAGGGCTCCACTATGATGCAGAGGAGATCTCTGGCTACTGTTGTGACACATCACCGTGTGATATACAGACTAAAGGTACCACCGTCAACCCTTGTATTAAATATCAGGAAAGCTGAATTTCTTTCCTATTCCTTTTTTAGACAGAAATCAACCTTAAGAGCAGCTCTAATATTTTCTTCTGGTACTCCAGTGGAATTTCTTCTATTTCCCCTGTGGAACTTGTACCCTATTTTGGAGACTTCCAGAAAAATGAAAAGAGGCAAGGTAAGAAACTGAGATTGGGTCATGCTGTGGAAGACTATGGAAAAGAGTCTGAAGATGAACACCACAGACAGGGGACCCACTGATGATTTTTGAGAAGGCAATAAATAAATAATCAAAGTGGCATTTGCCCAACCTGGGCTCCTCATTCACTGAACCCAAAATTTATAACAAGTTGCTAACCAACATGGACAGAACCTATTTCCACTCAGGTAGGTGAACCCCTTCACTATCCATGGAAGGGGATAGAAGGACCATCTTGGTTCTAGGGAGGAATCCCCAGAGAAGCCACCTCTGCCTTCTGAGTAAAGGGAAGATGTGGTCTCTTGATTTGCCCACTGGACAGATCTAATTCTATCCCACCTCTACCACTTGAGGAAAAAGTTACTAGGAAGTCACATTTACCCATTCCTTGGTAACTGTCACACATACCCATTCCTTAAATTTCTCTTTAAGGAAATTTAAAAATCTAGCCATAAGGGGCAGTGGTGGGGGGAAACCCACAAACCTTAAGAGAAAAGGAAAACCACTTCCTTTCTTCTACACTCCCTTCTCAATTCCCCCACCCTATTCCATATAAATTCAATTTGACAACCCTGCTAATTGGATAAACGTAGCTTCTACACTCCTAGAAAGCCATTCCCTTTTCTTTTTTTTTTTGTTTTTGTTTTTGGAGGGCTCAAAACAGGGTGATTGTGCTGTTCTTTAACACGAATTCCATCTGCTTTATTTCTCTCTCTCCATTCACCACTCCTCTTGAATATTTATGAGGCTTCCCCTCCTTGCCTATCCCCTTTCCACCCCACCTCCACCCACCTTCCTCCCTCAACCTCCCTCAACCCACCCTGCCTCCAGCCTCCTCTCCCCTCTCTCAGAGCTGGACAAAAACCCTTCCAAATGCAACCCCCCCTCCTTGCTTTAGATAAACACAGGCAGTGTCAAGTGTGAGGAGTAGGGGGAGGTAGGAGGGGGTTCAACTGCCAGTCAAGCCCCCCCAGCCTTCAATGAGGCCCAGGGGCCTACCCTAATCTGCTGCATGCTTGCCATATGGGGGCTGTGTTGCCCTGGGAAACACTAACAGGCAGAACGGAGCTTAATAGAGTCCATACTCATTGTAATGCAGTGAGATAGCTCAAGGCACCACTGCCCCTTCGGTCCAGTTTCATTCTTCTGCTTTCCTCTTTCTTTCTGGTTTTCCTCCCTTTTTCTTTCTTTCTTCCTCTCAAAAGGAAAGGGTCCCTAAGAGAGCTCTAACCTGGAGAGGCCTGCGCTGGCAGAAAGGCTGGCCTTTGGGGTTAGGAATGACAGTGCTGGGTGGGGGTTGCAGTTGGTGGGGAGAGGTGAGAAGTGGGGGCTTCCAGGGGAGCCAAGTGGGGAGAGGGGTATAGCCAGTGACACCTAACCCCCTGAGGTGTCAGGCCTTTGGCCAATTCCCAGCTCTTCACAGTTGCCTTGAAAAGTCATAGGTAGTGCAATGGGATGAAACCATTTCAAACGTAAATCTCTGTAGGGGCAGAAGACCCACCGGCCTGCCACACAGGGGCCAGTTTCCTCCTCTGGCTGGCCAGCACTGAGGAGGAGGTGACAGTTGCAGTCTGTCACAGCCCAGTCAGGGCACACGGGGCCCTCTGCGTTGAGGGAGTGGGCTGTGTAGCAGATGAAGCCTTGTCATAAGTATATCTGCTGGAAGTGAGATTTGGGGCTCCCAGAGATCAGAGGTGATTCTTCCCCAAGGCCTAAAAGGAGGGCAGAGCATGTAGGAGGGGGAAAAGAGTACATTTCTCCCAATTTCACAGAAAAAATAAAATTGGTACCCAGGATACAGGAAGTCCTCAAAGAGTAAAGAATCTG